ACAAACTAAAATGTTAGTGTTTAGTGCCCATACCTCCCTTTTTTTCTGTAAGGAAAAAAGTGAAAATGGAAAGATAGTGGCAAGTGAGCAGTTCTGTCTTCAGCATAATATAGCATTATCTGGTTCTCTTTCCTACATTTTTTTTTTTTTTCTGGTACCGGGGATCGAACTCGGGTCCTTATGCTTGCACAGCAGGCGGTGAAACCACTGAGCTAAATCCCTGATCCCTCCTACATTTGAATTAAAAACAAATCAGAAAGATCAAGAGTAAGTTGGATAAATAGACATAGCGGACAAACATAAATATGACTTGATAATCAGGGAAAGAGGAAAGGAAAAGGCATACACAGAAATGCTAAGTACACACCAGTGGGTGGCATGTGGTGCACTTGGAAAATGAGAATAAAGGCACCTTGTCCATTTTCAGAACCCTCTGAGTGTTTATTTTGTACGTAGTATAATAACTGGTCTTTGATGATTGCCATGAGTCATCAAGAGACAGAAAATAAATTATACTTGTATTCTTTATTTTAAAAGTTAAGGTAAAATTAACTCTCACAAAAATTCCAGCATAAATGATTAAGTAATTTTGGATGCTTTAAGAGAAATTTGGTTTTTTGAAAACCCAAGTGGAAAATGTACTCGTTTCCTAATGTCAGCTAATTCAGGAGTTCCAAAGGGGAAAACTAAAGTATTGGATTCTAAATTTTTACGAGGAGGAACTTTAATCCTGTATATTGCAGATATTTATTAAATGCTTACATGTGTATAGTAGTCTACAGACTGCTTTAATTAGTACATTTTAACCTTCTTTAAAATATTCTGACCCAAATCTTTTTTTCTGTTAAGGAAAGGAACCATTCAGAGGCTCAAATTTGCTCATTTAGGGTACCATAGTTTGCTTGCATGTGGTAAAGAATTTGGCAAAGTTCATTACCTAATGAGGTTAGGTAATTTGGACCTACTGTCCTACTATGAGTAACAAATTCTAGGTTATAAGAAGTCACCTTGAAGTATTTGGGGGCTGGCCCAGGGAGGTAAGTAGATTATCAGAGTACTAAAGTCAATTTTATCTTTAAGGCATTTACTAAACACACATAGGCACTGGTTCATCAAAACGAAGAGTGAGGGGAATGGAAGCCAGAGTCCTGACAGAGCATATGAATATTAGGAAGTCTTAGAGAAGTTGCATTACACATTAGGTTAGGGTCTTTGAAGGATTGTATCACTAGAGCTAAACCTGCTCCCCATCTTTCACACTCCAGGGGACTGTGGAAAAGGTACCTTGGCAGTGGGCAGACTAGAAGAGAGACAAGGAAGGAAAATGCATCCCTGAAAAGTTGTGGTCACTGACTAGTTCCCTTGCATATTTACATTTTGGTTACACCTAGTGTGAGTAGGCCCAGGGATCTCAGTGTGTTCCAGTTAGGTCCTGCTTCCCAGGAGCCTAGCAGAAGCAAACAGAGCTTCACTGGGAGAAGGCACATTATCCCATCCTCAGCAAATCAGTCCACTATAAATGATCTTAAAGGGCAGAAACTGCCAGAAGTCACCAAGGCATGCAAGAACAAAAGGCAGAGGGAGAGCCACTAAGGGGAATTTTTTTTTTTAAATACTCAAAAACAGCATAGTTTTCAGACACAGATATAAAACAGATATGCTTACTTTGTTTAGTAAAATAAGTTTGAACAATAACTGCAGAGAACAATAAATTGCAAAAGTAAAATAGTCAATTTGTGGAGGGGGATATGTCTAGGAAATAAAAAATAATCAAAATTAAAATCTGAGTGAACATTTTGTCAGTAGATTAAATTTAAAAGAGAAAATTGGGAACCAGAGAGAAATTAGAAGAACGTATTTGAATGCTCCAAAGAGAGACAGTATAGAGAGAGTACACAAACAAGAGAAAAGGTATGGAAGATACAAATGTCATTTAGATAGTACTCCTAAAAGGGGTAAACAGAATGGCTGAGGATTTTCAGAAATTAATAAAGACACCAGTTCATTAGAGGCCAGCAAATCTCAAACGAATAATTTAAAAAGCATGCACCATACAGAAAATTCAGAAAACCAACCAAAAGATGACAAATTACCTTCAAAAGAATACTTGACTTTTCAACATCTGAAACCAATGGGATAATATCCCAAGTGTGCTGAAAGAAAACAACTGCCAGTGTAGATTTCTACACACAGTGGAAGTCCCTTTCAAGGATGAAAATGAGCTGGCATGGTGGTGCATGCCTGTAATCCCAGCACTCAGGAGGCTGAGGAAGGAGGGTGGCTGTGTGTTTGAGACCAGCCTGGGCTCGTTATGTAAATGAGTTCAAGAGCAACCTAGAATACATAGCAAGACCCTGTCTCAAAAAATAAAAAAAAAGAATGAAAGTAAAATAAATACATTTTCAAACAAAAACAATTCATCAGCAAATTATCACTACAGAAAATTCTTAAAAATGGGCTTTTGGCAAAAGTAAAAGCACAGAAGGAATGTCATATGCAGGAATAAATGAAGAGCAGGGGAAGAAGTAAACGTGAACAAACAAATATTGCTTGTATAAGAGAGCGATAATGTTTTGTAGGGCCTAGTTAGAATAAAGAAGTAAAATGCCAGACAAGAACAATTTTTAAGTTGCACAATGGAAGCAGTTAGGAAAGTAGAGGTAAAGCTGCCAAGATCCTTGTATTTATCCAGAAAAAAGTAAAAGTTTTGATTATCTCTAGACTTTAATGTTAAGACTAAGGTAACCAGTAAAAAAGAATTGGAAAATATTGTGTAATTTCCACACTAATAAAAGGGGTAAAATAGAATGGTTATTAAGACTTGTATTCAACGAACTGATTCTAAAAATATGTATAGAAATGCAAAGGGCCAAGAATAGCCAGAATGTTAGAAATCACATTGACAAAATGAGAGAAATGGCTCTATGTGAGAAGATTTATTATAAAGCTACAATAACTAAAGATTGACATTAATGCAAGCACAGAAGAACTAATGAGAGAACCTGGAAACAGACCCATGCACTTAACGTATACTTGATATATGACAGATTGCACTACAGGAGAGAGAGGAAAAGAGACTTCAATAAATGTTCAGTCCCAAAATCAACTCCAGATGAATTAAAGACTTAAAACATAAAAGTTGGAGATAGGGACTGCCTTGAAAGCACAAGGACCCAAGTTCAATCCCTGGTGCCAAAAAAAGTTTGAGATAGGGAAAGATTTTTTTAAAGCATGACCAAAAAGCCATAACCATAAATGAAAAAGATTAAAATTTAAAACTTGGGCCATCAAAAGAAGCCATAAAAACGACAAGCCATGAAAGGGGAAAGATATTTGTAGCATGTCACTGACAAAGGGCTTGTATCTGACTATGAAAACTCCTACAATGAAAAGGTAAACAAGTAACAAGACTTAACCAGACATTTCACAAAAGAGAAGGTTTGACAAATACGTGAAATAAAACTCGGACACTACTAGACGTGGTGCACGCCTGTAATCCCAGCATTCAGAAGGCTGAGGCAGGAGGATCACAAGTTCAAACCCTGCCTGGGCAAGCTAGTGAGACCTTGTCTCAAAAAGTAGAGCTGGTGATGTAGCTCATTGATAGCCCCTGGGTTCAATCCCCAGTTCTGGAAAGATCAAAACCTCAAACACAATGAAATACTTAGTGCTTGTTCACTGGATCCAGCAATATCAAGTGTTGATACCCATGTACAGCAACACAACTCTTGAACAGTGCTGCTGGGGCTGTAAATTTAATACGGTCATTGGAACAGTTTAGCATTTTCTAATAAAGATGAAGGTACACATAATTTGTGACCTAGCAATTCTCTTCCGAAATTTATACTCTAGAGAAAAGCATGCACATTTACAGTAAGTTACTTGTACAAGAATATTCATGGCAGTGTTGTTTATAATAGCCTGAAACTATCAGGAGTAAAATGAATAAATTATTAATATTATTCTAGGGCTGGGGATTTAGCTCAGTGGCACCATGTCTGCCTCGCAAGCACAAGGTCCTGAGTTTGATCTCTAGTACCGCAAAAATATATATATATATATGTATGTTATTCTACAATTAAAATAAACTTCAGTTACATATAACAACATGAATGAGTTCACAATGTTGAAAGAAGCAAATCCCAAAAATGCAGACAGTGTGATTCAATTTATATAAAGTTTACAACCATACAACTCAACTGTGTTAGGGTTGGAAGAGTTTCCCTTAAAGGCCAGGTAGTCAGAAGTTTAGACTTAACTGCCACATGGTCTTTATTACAACCATACCTACTATACATAGTGGGCAAGCTGTCCACGCTCCATGGCTGTGTTCCAGGAACGGCTGACTGCTAGCTTATGGATGTGTGTATTCCAAGTAAATTACTTTTAAAGGAATCAGAGTGGGGAGAGGGATGATAACCTTAACAAATTCTTGGAGGAGGGCAGGTTCAAGGTCAGAGAAGGGTGAATGGGTACTTCAGGACTTCAGCAGTGGCTTGTGTCCAGGTTGCTGGAGTGTTGTTCATTTTGTCTTTTTTATATTTTATGTAAAAGTTGTATAATTTGTAAAACAAGTTCTTTAAAAATTTGGTGTAGGGCCGGGGATTTAGCTCAGTGGTTTCAGCGCCTGCTGCGCAAGCACAAGGACCCGAGTTCGATCCCCGGTACCAAAAAGAAAATTTGTTGGTGCTTCCTGAAATGGTGGTTAATTATTTAATGTGGATTTTGATCTGTATTTGAATTACTCTGCTTGTTTTCTGAAATTTGCCTCAAATATTTCTAAAAATTTAAATAGTAATATAAAAGCTTGTCTTACATATGATTTCTTTTTAAATCACATAAACATTTAACTACAAAGAAAATGTAGAACACTACTATTTTTGATTAATCAGAATATGAACACTAATAGAAGCTAGAAGCTTGGATATATGGCTTGCAGTTAATATCTTGGCTTATTTGCACGAAAGCACTGACAGCTGTCTTCATTCTTTTCTTTACAGGCTCAGTAGATGAAGGTGTTACCGAGGGTTTGCCTACACTTCAAAACACTTCTAGCACTAATGTTCATGTGGATGATGATGATCGGTTAGTACTAAAGTAGTGTGTGGTTTTCTTTTAAAAGCTGTCTTAGGGCCGGGGGTTTAGCTCAGTGGTTCCGCCGCCTGCCTCGCAAGCACAAGGACCCAAGTTCGATCTCTGGTACCAAAAAAAAAAAAGCTGTCTTAGAACTGTATGAGAAATTTACTGAGACCTCTACACTTTAGTATACTTTTCAAAATAATGAAGTAACATCATCACTTAGACTATACCAGATTTCTTTTTTGCATTTCTAAGACTATCTCATCCCAGTGCCTTACATAGTATATCTTTTTTTTGTTTTGTTTTGTTTTTGGTACCGGGGATCAAACTCAGGACCTTGCGCTTGCGGGGCAGGTGGCAGAACCACTGAGCTAAATCCCCAGCCCCTTATATAGTATATCTTATCAGAGGTTGGCAAATTATGGACCATAGGCTACTTCTCAGCCACCATTTTGACTTGTCAATAAACTATTATTAGAATCCATCCACAGTTATTTGTTTACATATTGTTTATGAGTGGCAGAGTTCATTCCTTGAAACAGAACATCTGGTATACAAAGCCAAGATATTTATGATGTGGCCAGCTACAAAAAATGTTGCCTTGCTGGGCATGGTGGCTATAATCCCAGCACTCAGGAGGCTGAGGCAAGAATCCAAGTTCAAAGCCAGCCTGAGCTACAAAGTGAGCTCAAGGCCAGCCTGAACTCCATACCAATACCCTGTCTCAAAAACAAATAAAAACTGTCGCCAAGTCCTGATCTATAGACCCATGATTCCCAAGTTACTACCTTTACTCATCCCTTCCTGCTTGATATTTCCACGTAAATGGATTAGAGGCATTTTACTCCAGGGCCAAGACAGAATTCTTTTTCTGATTTCCCATCTGAGTCCTGTTCTTCTAGTCTTTTTCCCATTCCTCCAATTTTTCAAGTACAGTCTCTGAGAATTCATGATAGAGTACTTCTTTCTGTCACCACTACCCACTTTTTCTCTCTCCTTGTATTTAATCCTTAAGCCTTACCAAATCTACCTGCAGAATACCATATCCCCAGTCCCTGGTCTGTCTCCCTTTCCTCTGTCTGTAATATAACCACCCTAGTTTGTCACCACTGTCTTTTGCCTTGATTACTGCAGTAACCTTCAAAGTTCTTCCGTTACTTAAGTCCATTCTTCATATAACAGAATCATCATTTGCTTTTTTAGTCAGGTTTTCACTGTTTTAAGCTATAGATACTTAACATTGTCCTATCATACTTAAAAGCTAGATTCCATGATATGATGCTATATCGTAGAATTTTGCCCAACTCCCATCAGACCATTTTCCCTCTTGCATATTACCTTTTAGGCACATTGACCTTCTTTTAGTTCTTGAAATACTCTATTTGTTCTGCCTTTTAGGCCTTCCTGTTACTTCATGGGCTTTACCTGAAATGTGTTCTCCCCTGATTTTCATTCACATTGTTGGCCTCCCCTTGACCTTCAGATCACTGTCTTGGTCTCAGTTCTCAAGAAGGCCTTTCCTGATCACCCGCCTAAACTAGCATTCAGTCACTATTTAGGTTGTCCTACTTTGTCCTACTGTGGTCATTTTCTTGGTAATTAATTCTTCTCCATCATTGAATATTGGCTTCAATGAATGAATTCCTCATACGGACTGTAGGACAGTCTTAAAAACTATACTCGATAAAAACTTCAAAAATTCAAGGGACTCAACAAGGTTAATTATTCTTGAACAGCTAACCCTGTTTGAGCAGATTGTGGACCAGAATTACTTGAATGAGTTAGTAAAACTATAAACAATCAGAAGTGTGCCTAGCTTTCTTCATTTCAAATACTAATTAGGTCGTCTACTCTTTGTTAAATACTGTATGAATGATGGGGGTACACAGATGAAATCCATAGCCTTTTTCCTTAAGGAGCTCAAACAATTTTAGGAGAAGTGAGGTTGAAGATAGCCAAGTAGTAAACAAGTCATTGTAAGTGATTGCAGAGAATTTGATCACTGCACTTAGGGGAATACCTACATGAGCCACTGGTAAATGAAAGGCTTTTCTTTTCCCCCTGAGACAGAATCTTCCTATGTGGTTCAAGCTAGCCTTAAACTCACTATGTTCCCCTGGCTGGCCCTGAACTCACAGTGATCCTCCTTGCTTTAGCTTCGTGAGTGCTAAGATTACAGGTATGTACCACCATGCCTGGCTCAGCTATATTTTCTAAAGTGAGTAGGCATTATAGAGCAAAGAAAGTAGGCTAATAGAAGAAAAAAATGTACAAAAGTATGGTGTAGAGAGATTATGGTACATTGGAGGAATTATTTGATATAGGATATGTGGTGGAGAGTATGACAAGAAATGAGGCTGTTAAAAATAAGAGCTCAGATATGAGGAATCTTGCCTGACTTGTAAGGGGTCAAGATTTCATTCAGAAGCATAACACAGGATTTTAACGGGGGAGGCTAGTTTAACCCTAAAAAATTCTATAAATACTATATTTAACTATAAAAAATACTATAATTCAGTGAGAAAAGTAGATTAAAAGGGAGTGGAGCTAAAGAGAATTATTAATTTAGGTTTGTATTGATGCAAGCCTAAATTAAAGCAGTAGCAAGAAGAAAGGGATTAGAGATATTAAGAATATGTAAGGTTTCGATCCCCGGTACTAAAAAAAGAATATCTAAGGTAAAATAGTATGTGATATGTTCGTGGTTGTATTTCCATGCTTGCTTTTTATAATTGTTCTAAGTGAAACACAATCTAATGGTTAAACTTTTAAAAGTCTTGAACTGTTTTTTCTTTTTTCATTTAAACTTGACCTGCAGAAATGTTTATTCAACTTTAAAATCAGAGCCTGGTTGCCTTTTTTGGTTTATTTTTTTAGACTGGAAAATGTTCAGTATCCCTACCAACTCTACATTGCTCCTTCTACCAGCAGTACAGAACGACCAAGTCCAAATGGTCCAGACAGACCTTTTCAGTGTCCAACCTGTGGGGTGCGATTCACCCGTATTCAGAACCTAAAACAGCACATGCTCATCCACTCAGGTAATGTCATCTTCCCTGCTATTAAGTGAGCAGTCTAAAACATTTTATATTTTGGAATCCCAACTAAAATATAAAGCATGTACTTTTCGCCAGGGATTTAGCCCAGTGGTTCCACCGCCTGCCTCACAAACGCAAGGTCCCAAGTTCAATCCCTGGTACCAAAAAAAAAGTTCTGAAAAATCAAATGAAAACAGATTAGCTTAGGTCTGTTGCTGAAATGGTGCAGTATCAGAAAACTATTTGCTTAATGCATTTACCACAGGTATTAAGTATTCTGATTGAAAGTTATGGGCAATATGCAATGTATTATATGTAAACTAAAAGGTATAATGTATGTAGGGTATGTGTGAATATGTACAAGAGAGAAACAAATGATTAAGTGGTATTAAAAGTAAATAATGGTTCTTTGTATCATTCTTTTAACTCTTCTGTCAGTTTGAAATTATTTCCAAATAAAAAGTGCTTTAAAGTTTAATATTTTATGTATAATTGATAATGTGAAATAGGAAGAAAAGGTCTAAAGGGGTAGGGGAAGTGGGAGAGGTAGGGGAAAGGAAAGAAGGGGAAGGAAAAAATAGGAGAAAAGGAAAAAATGGAAACAAAGTCTTTGTAAATAGGAAGGGGTGGAGGGATTGAAGGGAGGGCAGGGGAATGGGGAATAAATAAGAATCAAGATAATAATGTAAAGGTACAAGTTCCCAGTGATGAGTGTAACTGTACTGTATACCTAAAATGTGCCAATAAACTTAATTAAAAAGTAAAAAAAAATTTAATATTTTACTATTAATTTATGTTCTGTAATCCTAAATTTCTCTGCTTTGATAAGTCAGCTTTGTAGTTTTTTGTTTTTAGTGTTAGAAAGATTTTGAATAAATGTGTAGGTGAGATTTTAGTGAAACCTAAATTCAGTGGTCACATATAGGTGACAGTTCTTGTGGTTTAACAGTGACGCTAATGAGTTGAGAGATTTTTGCTATTTTCAGCTGTGTTATCATCTCACTTCCCTGCCTTGACAGGTCTCGTAGTCCCTGTCCAAACACCAATTTCCTGTGATGTTGTTAAGTCTAAAGATTGTGTTTTTTAAATTTTTTAATTTATATTCTCCAAATTTTGATGTTTTAAGAAAATTGTTAATGCATTTTGTAATTCCATTAATTTCCATCAATGTTAAATACTCAGAGCTAGTTCATCAGATGACTCTGTGATGATCTTTACATACAGAGATGTTAGAATTTTCCTTTTTTTCTCATTTTTTCTCAGATAAGGAACATTAAATGAAATCGTAAATGCTGTTATATGAGAATTTTAGTTCTAACTACTGTAGTTAAAAATGGGAAGTCTGTAAAATAGATGATTTGAAATATTCAGAAATTGGTCTCAGCACACATTAGTTTATCTCCTCCCCATCCTTCCTTAACTCTTTAAGCACTGGTAATTTTTACATATTATGTGCCTTTTCTGATGTATCAAAATATAATACTTTTAGCTGATAGTTTTTGTGTTTTGAAGTTATTGCTACAAAGTTACATTTCAGAAATTTCTGAGATCTGTGCCCTTTTAGTTTATGTTTCATGTTATTTTCTTTTACTTTATCTTATAGGAATTAAACCATTTCAGTGTGACCGCTGCGGGAAAAAGTTCACCAGGGCTTACTCGCTAAAGATGCATCGCCTAAAGCATGAAGGTAAACGCTGTTTCCGGTGCCAGATATGTAGTGCCACTTTCACTTCCTTCGGGGAATATAAACACCATATGAGGGTTTCCCGGCACATTATCCGCAAGCCTCGGATTTACGAGTGCAAAACATGTGGCGCCATGTTCACCAACTCTGGAAATTTAATCGTGCACCTGAGAAGTCTGAACCATGAAGCATCAGAGCTAGCAAACTACTTCCAGAGCAGGTGAGGTGCACAACAAAAACCCAACCAGGAAAACTGCTTTCTGAACTCTCTTTTCCTGCTTTCAGGGCAGCCTGCTATGTTATTTTAATCAGGTTGCCAGCTAATCAGTACATTTGTTTTAAATTCCCAGTATCCGTATCCATTCTATGATCTCCTGATCTAATAAAAATTTTTCTGGATCTCCTAAGGATATAAAGTTATATATACTTCATAGTTGGTATTCAGAATATTTTCCTACAAAATAAAAATTTTAGGGGGCCGGGGATTTAGCTCAGTGGTTTCGCCGCCTACTGTGCAAGCGCAAGGACTCGAGTTCGATCCCCGGTACAAAAAAAAAAAAAAAATTTTAAATGTGTATGTGTATATATAGATATATACATATATTCCTACAGAAGTAGTCCACTTATCTTTTTTTTTAATAATATGAAGTTCAAGCAATTCTGTAGAGGACCTTAAGTAGATCCTTTTAGAAAATACACTATATCACTTGCTTCTCGGCCTTTGATCAAGATCAAAGTGAAAATATACTAAGTGAAATATACTAAGATCAAGTGAAAATATACTATATCAGATGATAATAATAGCAGGTTACTTCACACTCTAGATGTTAGTAAACTATTTAACCACTTTCTTCCTTCCCTCTCTCCCTTCTTCCCTCCCCCCTGCTTCAATCCTATGTGAAGGAATATCCATTTGCCAGTAAGAAAGGAACTTTGACAGCAATTATAATGGATATGGTAGTTTAGATCCAGTGAAGTCTTTCCTATTTTCTCTCAGTTTAGAGCTCAAGATTTTAATGCTAATAATATATAATAGAGCTGCTTTTCTGATTCAAGGCACCTAAGGAAAACTTTTGTTCTGGCTCTGCTACTGTTTGATTAAACATGTTACTTTACTGATGAAGCAGCTTGGAATTTAGCAAAAGATAAAATGTAAGCTTTGAACAAGATAGTTTCTAAGCCCTCCTCTTGATAGGAAATTCTGTTGTGTGTTTTTAAATACTTTATATGAGAATTGTACCTCTGTAAGAAACCTTAGTTCTCATAAAATAAATCTTTACATTTTAAATTGCCTTTATTTTAAAAACTTTATTTTTCAATAAATTTGAAATTATTCCTACACAGACTTTGTTTTTCCCTTCAAACCATACATTCGTTTGGTTTGTTTCTAATTCTTATGATTGTCACAAACCTAGATTATTTATATATATATATATAAATCTCATATTACACATAGTTGTTTATAACTAAAATAGTGTTCCAATTAACAACTCCTGCGTCTCTGTCTTATGCAGAATCTTTACCCTTCATTCCTTTTATCTAACCCCTGAAGACTTTTTAGATTTCAATATAGAACATTTGAAATGGCTTTGCAGTTTAGCACATTTTTAATTTTCCTATTAATACTGAACAATTCAATTATAAAATGGCTGTATCAATATATTATTGATAGTCCTAGGATAATGAGGCTTTTTAGTAATGAAGATTTAAATGAAGCATCTGTGTAAGACTTATTTCATATTATTGTTGTTTAAATAACAAAAAATGGTTATAGTAGATTTAGAAAATACAACTGAGTATAAAGAAATTAAAAATCTTTTCTGATCTCACGACTCAGAAAATACCCACTGTTAAAATTTCAGTATAAAATAAATAAATAAATTTCAGTATGTTTTACTGTTCACATTTCCTGTGGAAATCAGTAATTCAGACTTTCAGGACAAACATACATACATTTGAAGGTACTCACTTCCAAATTCTGAATCAAACATAATTTATTACCATATTCAAATCTAATAGCAAGATACACATAAATTATTTTCTACGTTTCTCACCTCTACAAACTAGATTATGTGTAAGCCATTTATGAATAAGGATTTAATTTCTCAACTAAATCCAATTAGTAAAACAAGTATGAGTTTGTATGCCTCTTAGTGTGTAAGCCAAGAAAAGTTAAGCATTTAAATTATTCAAATAATCTTTGCATAAGTAAGCAGTTTACGGATATTTGTTTTGTAAACGTAGAATAAGAAAGGCTGTTGAGGCCTCTGAAAGGGTTCCTCAGGGATTGATGCAGTTCTGTTCTAATGGATGGCTTTGTTTCATATTTAAGAAAGTTTGTGAGTTGAAAGTTCTGAGTCCTAACTTTATTGGAGAATTTGTGAAATAAAAAGTCCCAGTCTTGATTACAGATTATATCTTTTTATTACGTTCTGTTACTGATTTCAAGTTAACTCATATTTCACCCTTTGCCTCTTACCTAGTGATTTCCTAGTACCGGACTACTTAAACCAAGAGCAAGAAGAGACCCTTGTTCAGTATGATCTTGGAGAACATGGTTTTGAAAGCAACTCTTCTGTTCAAATGCCTGTAATTTCACAGGTCTCCTCCACCCAGAATTGTGAAAGCACTTTCCCCATGGGATCTCTTGCTGGGCTGGCAGAAAAGGAAGAAGAGGTGCCAGAGCAGCCAAAGACCAGCGCTCATGCTGAAGCTACCAGAGATGATCCCCCAAAGTCAGAGCTGTCTTCTATAACTATCAAGTAGTTTTGTGGTTTGGTTTCGTTTTTTGGAAAGTGCCTGTGCTTGGTCTTGTACATTTAAATTTAATTTAATTTTTTAACTAAGAAAGAGCTTGGGAAAGAATCTCCCTTTTCACTTTGTAAGCCCTGCAACTGATGTTTTATTTTTCTTAATTGAGAGATTGCTTCTGTAAAGACATAATAACATGATGTTGAAACAATAGAAATCATGAGACCTAGGAGAACCAGTTGACTTAAAACGTACCAGTTTCTTTCCTTTCATTATTAAAGGTAGGCTAACAACAGATCATTAGGTAAAGAAGAAATCAGATGATTATTGACTTGATTATCCTGAGATGAAAGGGTATGTGAGAAACAAATTACTAAGCAGACTTTGACTAATGGCCTGAGTAGATGTTTACTTCTTTGCACAGGATGTTGTAAAGCCTGTTGTTTTTGGAAGTATTCATGGCAAGCTTTCTTAAAAATTACTAAATACTTCTGAAATCCAGCACACTTTTTTTTAAGCTTTGTAATTTCTGTTGAGTTTTTCAGATGAAAATTTGATGTTGGATAGGCATTCCCTATACTTCAGTACCACTCCAGAGGCAAAGAACCATGACTAAAACATCAGGCTGTGGATGAAATTGGCGAGGAACACAGAATACAATACACAAATCTCAGCTTCATAAAAACTTTTAATATTGCTTTTCTGACTAAAATTGGCATTTACCTTGTCTTTGAAGGTCAGTGCCTGGTAACTAGGTCATTGCCTAAATCACTTTTCCCTTTGGCCCATCAACAGTACTTTTTCTTGCATATACTGGTGTGCTACTATATAAAGGAAAAATATTAGAGATATTCTATATTTTATATATAGGTTTATGTATTGTTGGGGATGTTTTTACTGTGCTGTTTTGGACAAAATAATTCTGTGTTGAGGCTAAGTTCTTAACTAAGATTGTTTACAAAATCTCATATGACAGTGGTATTATCCTTGGTCCAAAATATTTTTAGAAATTGCCAAATTTATTAGAGCAGTTACTATAGTTTTTACACAGTGTAAGCAATAATATAAAAGATGAGGCTATAAAATGATCACCTGACTCAGTCTGGAAGAGGAGAGAAAATTGTTGACTTAACAAAAAAACCCTAAAATCCTTAAAGTAATGAGTATCACTTTTTCTGCTGCTAAAAAGATGAAATTTATATGATGCTCAAGACTGGGATATACTTTTCATCTGGTGTCATTAAAGCATCTTTGACTTTAGTCTGAAATATGTATGACTCCATGAGTAATGAACTTTCAGGGGCCGGGGATTTAGCTCAGTGGCTCCGGTGCCTGCCTTGCAAACGCAAGGTCCCAAGTTCAATCCCCAGTACGAAAAAAAAGAACTTTTAATATCTGTTTGTCTGTATATAAAAAACCCAAAGTTTAATAATTATGAAAGCACCTAAATGGATTAGAAAAGAGAAACAAAATAGTCATACAGAGATAATGAATTTTATTCAGGTGCTAGGCCTTACTAAATATATTTCTTAATTATAGTGATTTGTTTCTTTTCTAAATTAGCTAATTGTATAATTCATTCTTCCCCCCCATAAATGTAAAGAAAGAAAAAGTAAACTCACTAGAATTTTTTAGGCTAATGTTCTTTCTGTCTCCTTATTTCCAGCTTTTTCTTTTTTCTTTTTTTTTTTGGTACTGGGGATTGAACCCAGGGTCTTTGCACATGATAAACATGCACTTGACCACTGAGCTACACCTCTAGCCCTTATTTCCAATTTTGTGCTTCATGGGTGAACCTGTTTTTGACCCATGTAACTTAGCCCTTATTTTCAATTCTGTATTTCACTTACAAACCTGGTTTTTTAATCCATTTGCTCCCAAACATAAGTGTACTTCGGGAATATCAACATTTATGTTATGATGGACTTCTACAATTTATGATTCTTTACTGGTAGTATTAAATTACTTTTTGCAACAGACTGCCATGTCTCAACTGGAACTGTAAATCTAATCTTAAAATCCTATGTTAGGGAGACAAAGAATAGGAATCACTATTGCTCTTTGTTCCAAGTTATTAGAAAAAGAAAAGAAAAAGAGGAAAGAAATGTGTAAAGAGTCATTGATAGAATTACCAGTCAGAAGTGTTTTAGCACCTCTCCTATACTGAGAATTCAACATTAAGAGAACCCTCGGCAGCTGGCAGCTCTAAGATATTCTGACTGTTTTCTCACAGTGAAGGATTATTTATCACTGGATATTCTTTCCCAGATGGAAACTGTAGATTTTCATTGGTAATTACAAATTGTACAGATTTCCAGGTTTTATAGGAAATTTGAATATACTGTGAAAATCCTTATCTGGTTAGTTATTGCCCAAATCTTATCACTATAGGTAATTTAAGTATTTAACATAAAATAATAGAGGCCTTTTTCTATTTCAGGAAGGCTCTACATTTTTCTTGATAATGATTTGAGGATGTTTTGTTTATAGATCTGTTTAAGAAAACAAAACTATAAGGGTGTAATTGTATATATAGTACTATTTAGATTTATTTAAAATCATGTAAGAGAGGGATACCTGGATGTATAGTTTTTACCAGAACATATGGAAAACATTGCAAAGATGAAAGCCAGTTACATTATCTCATCCATGAAAATTTTCGATATAACTACACATGAAAATTCCCATTTAGAATATTTAAGCATAGCTGCCTTTGTTAAAGCCCAAGAAGATACCTTTGTGGTATTTAAAGGGCTTAAATTTTAGAATGCAAGAAAATTTACCTTTTTAAGACCAAGCATTTTATATTGGAAAAGGTTTTATTTCCATTTTTCTAACTACCAAATAGCTGTACCTTAGAAGTAAACAAAGATGTTCACCATGATACTGGATATTATAGCTCTTCCAGTCATTCTTTTCATTTCTAAGGATATATTGTAACAGTAAAAGCAGTTAGCATGTCAGTGATTCTACTAATTCCTAAAATATAATAGGCTGGTTTTTAATTCTTATTCCAAGAAATTACACATTTATTTACATTGCCAGGCTTTTAAGTTTGTAATTTCAGTAAAACAAAGTAACACTGAAATGTTTAAATAGCCTCGCTGTCTTATACTTTAAAACTTAAGCAGGCATTCTGGCTTAAAGCAACGAGATTCCATGTTAGGATGCATGCCCTTTGGTTTGAAAACAAACAAAAAAATTCCATTTTGTTAAAAATATTTTATCAAATGGGGTGAGCTTGTCAACACATCTCATAGACTTAATCATTGGTAACCCAGTTACTTACCCTGTATTGACTGAGCAGGTTCCTCCCAGTCTATAGTGTTTCTCTTGGAGCCTTTGGAAGTTGTATTAAATTTCTCACACTTTTACTTTTTTCTTATTTTATTCTCAATTTAAATGGAGGCCAATTATATAGTCCAGTGTCTTGTTTGGTTTTATTTAGCTTTTAGAACTGGAGATCAAACCTAGGGCATCATGTGTGCTAGACAAGCACTCTATCACTGAGCTACAGCCCTACTCCTTAATAGCTTTTATTTAGAAGATTCTAAGATCATGTTTTAGACTCTTAGCTTTGTAATCCCTGAAAAATACATTACTGTATAATGTCATGGTAATTCTGTCCTAGTACATCACATAGAGAAAATTGCTACTTGATGTACAATCCTAAAATTTTAATATTTTTATTGAAAATATCCCATGAGCTGGGGATTTAGCTCAGTGGTGCTGTGCCTGCCTTACAAGTGCAAGGTCCTGATTTTGATCCCTGGTACCAGAAAAAAAGAAAATACCCTATGATTTGTGGAATTGATGAACAAGAGAATTTAAAACTTTCTGATGTAGTACTCTTATTTCCTCATCTACAGAATAGAAAGTTTGAACTCTGAAATGTATATCCAAGTGAAAGAGAATAAGTAATTTTCCAGTTACTAAGATTATCTGGGAAAAAGAAACTAGTTAAGTTCACATTTGGAAAAAACAAGCCCAAAGTTACTAAAAAGGAAGTAAATATGATTTTCACTGTAAGTTATTGACATAAGATGCTTTATAATACAGATTTTGAAAATTGAGAAGAATATATAAAAACTAGATTTTAGAGCTGGGGATTTAGCTCAGTGGTGCCACCGCCTGCCTCACAAGCATAAGGTCCTGAGTTCAATCCCTGGTACAAAAAAAAACAACTAGATTTTATTTTCTGAAACAGTGAATCATTTGGGGGATGGGGTATGATATTGCACTAAATATATCTATGAGGAATAGAGATAAGCATACTCTCACAGACTTTAAGCTAAGATAATCAAAATTTATAGTATTCCTTATTTTCTTTACACATTTTTTTTTTTTTTTGGTACCAGGGATTGAACTCAGGTCCTTGTGCTTGTGGGGCAGGTGGTGGAACCACTGGGCTAAATCCCCGGCCCCACACATTTTTATTTTTCATTGTCACTTTTGCTCAACAGAATGTGGTGGCATATGGTATTTTAATCTGAAAAGTCCTCATCAAGACACATTAGCCAAAACCAATAATGAGTCAACTTACAAAATGAGGTGCAATTGAGCCGGTCCTCATAGTGAGCTGAGGAATACTTTATGGATGTTTCACTTTAGACTACTGAAGTTGAGACTTGTGTCACTGTGTTTATGGAAAGTTAAACCCTGTGTCAAATACAGTGACGACATAGTACTAGTTACCATTAAGGGTCATGGTTACATTTTTATTATAGAACAAAATAGTTCTATGTTTTTGAAAATAGTCCTCTCAGAAATTCCAGACACTTAAGAGAATCTGAGTTTGGCAGTTCAGTAGAAAATGAGACTGCCCTAAAGTATTCATAATGCTTTAGTTAAACTTCCTCTGTACAGGGCCCAGGCCAGTTCCAACTAATAATACCAAGCTTCCTGTGTATATACTAGTTCACAAAGAACTTAGTTCAGACCAAGGATTGGAAACAAAAACTTTGGTAAAAAAATTTTTTTAAACTTAAAATGTTTTTAGTTTGAAGTGACTGGCTTATAAAATCTATTTATTTCCTTTCTCTCTTAAATTGACAAATTTTGTTGGTCAAGCCTGAAGTCCTGAGCTCACTTGTGATAATTTTTTGATAAAATCGCTGCTTAATTGTCTGAGGAGCTACAGTATCATGACCTTTATTAAACTGTCTTTTGTTTTCCCAAATACCCAGTCTGAGTATCCAGATTTTATTTCATTAAATAAGTTAGAAAAGCATTCTGTAAGTGAATGTTCAGTTTACCAAAGTACATCACCTGCTGAGGAAGGATACATCTTTCCTGCTCTAAGAGAAGCCCTTCATCTCCTGGATACACATTGTTCCCTTGGTATTACCAGAGGCTGTGTTCATGAGATGGGTAACCTTTTGTGCAGTTCTTAGAAACACCTGTTTTCTAGAGAGAACCTTTTCTATGATTAGGTTACGAGTGTGTTTTTTCTAGGAGATTTCTTTTTATTTCAATATCAATTTTCAAATTGACAGATGCTTTTTAAAGTCTCTCATACTGAGAGTAGTCCATTAAATTTTTGAAAGTTGCACTGTTTTTCATCTTTCAGGCACCTGAAATGAATGACATTGGGTATTTGGAAGATCATAAACTTTACTCTTTATCTTCCTTGTACAAAATGATGGCTTCTGATGCTTGTATTTCAAGGTATTTTTTGAAAACCAACAATCCCTGATAGAGTAACATTTTGTTTTGATCTAAATTCCCAATAATCTATTTAATTATTCTGTTGTTACTGGTGACTCCTGTCACATCAGATAGAGATTGCCTGCCTCTTTGTAGGGCACCCTTATGGCACCTTATGTCCAATTTGGAGGATAGTATATGGCTTCTTTGTGCCTCTGCTATCTTTTCAAAAGCCATTTTATAAAAATCCTAGTTAGCCTATTTTAATATTTAAATATATATATTTGTGAAAGATACTTTTAGAACAAACTTTTTTTTTACTTTATAATTCCTGTATCCCCATTTTTAAGAGTAAATTTACGCTTTTCCAGGATTAGGAAGTATTCTTTTTCCAGAGCAGCATAATAAGAAAAGTCAGATTGAGATAATAGACCAGAATTCAGTGATAGAAGAAAATAATATTGGCTAAGGGAGATAGGTTTGAAAGGGAAAAATTGTTCTGATGTAACAGACATGGGTTTTTTAATAAAATCATGTTTGTAATTGCATATTTGCTGCTATAAGTAGCTCAGTATTTTACAGGGCTAACGTATAAATCTGGCTCTATTTAAAAACGAGTCCATTTTAGTGCAAACAGCCTAGGTGGAGACTGCACCAGTCTCCCCAGGGTGCTGAGTGCTCTGTGTAGCTAATGCATGCTTTAATATTCACCTGCAGTCTGGCAGCAAGAAAGTGTGGGGGCAACTTTTTACCCTGCCGGCTCTAGCATGATTTTGGAGGGCACTGGCATCTTACAAAACCCTCAAGGGATGTAATGCTAAAGAGGAAACATGAACTAAGTTATGCAGGTGGGTGTTTTTATGTCCTCTTCTCCTCCCAGAATCAGTACAGCTATGCCAGTCCCCAGCTGCCCAGCGTTGTGTCCAGTCCTCATCTCAATCAACTATGGCTTTAGTTGGTGACAGTGGCCATTGCTAAGTTACTTGGCATGTTTGATTTTGGACAATAACAAAAATGGTTTTGGAGTTTATTTCTTAAAAATGTATACAATGTCAGAACTTCACATTTTATATACTAGTATCTGGCTATTAGTATTTTACAGGAACCATAGTTCTTGGTGACTACACACACATATATATATTTTTGTGACTTTTTTGTAAACTAAGTGCCGTTTCAACGTTACAATCATTTTTAGAGTTATTGTAATCAATGTGAATATTATGTTTTTCAAATCTGTTCTGAGCCTATATAGTGTTTGCTTTGTGAACATATGTGTATTGTATATAATCTGTATAGTTACATTGTATTGAAATATTAGCTTGTTTGATATAAGGAAAGTATGTATTGAGTACCTTTTTGCTAGCTTGATTGTTTAATCTTTTTTAAAAAGGTTTAAACTTTTTTTAAAAAATCTTTAAACTGACCTTTATTACATGGTCACAAAATTGCAGTTGGAAGGGATGGACAGGGAAAAACTAGTCTTGAGAGTCTTTGGATAGAAACATGAGACTAAGACTTGTTTTTGTTTTGTTTTCTCCTCATTAAAATATCTTATTAATGCTTTATGGAATAAAACTTCCTGCTATTGTTATTTAATATTGGCTGGAAGCAAAAATTGGTGGTGTTGGTTGAGGTCCAGTGGATAAGTTATCAGAATAATTCATTATTTAAGTAAACATCCATCAAGCATGTGCAGACTAGAGAATATTTATTAGACGGTACATGTCGGTTTTCTGGTCCAGAAGGAAAATGGCTGTAAGTGCAAAGGTTCTACAAACACGGTATCTAAGAGGGGGAGGATAAAGGAGAGGATAATTAGAGGAAGGCATCAGTCCTGAGAGCTGTTGAACGGGGTTCTTCCATAAAGCATAAAAAGCTACTTACTGGTTGGTTATGTTACCTCCTGAAGTTTTCTCCAATTTTTTCAAAATCGTATATTGACTAGAGACTCACTGTTGCCATTTCAGTGATAACTTAAAGTCTCAGAGTAAAAACAGTTACAGAGTGGGGAAATCAACTCATTACATAGGTAATGAGCCCCGGAGAACCTGAAGGAATAGCTTTCCAACTTGAGGCTCATCTTGATGTGCATTTTTGACAGTGTCTTGACAGGCAAAGAAAAACATTTTAATGACCTCAGGCAACCAGGAACATTGCAGTTCATTAAGTTTAGAGAGGAAGACAGTAAATGTTTAAGAAGCACTTTCATTCAGTGGGTATGTTAAGTGTTTTTAACAAGTTTACTGAATCATTCAAGATCATCAAACTATTGGGTTCTTCAGTAGCTAAATTTAGCCACAGATGATTGTAGAATGTAGAATTTAAAATAATTTTATCTTAGAGTTTGTATATGAATTGTATACCAGAAAGATTCCTTTCAGAGAATAATACTAAAGGTAATAACCAAAAGATGTGTATTTCTTCAATTAGTAGAGTTGAAGTTAATAATTGGGGCTTTTTCTCTTTTGAACTGAAGTTTGTTCTAAGTAGTAAACTAAGAAGGCAAAATAAAATCCATAAACATACCAGGAGTTTAAAGGGGAAAACCTGTACATAAACACCAAATTACAAAGTTTAATGTAAAAGTGTTATATGAATAATCTTTTATACTGATGGGAAAATAAACCAAGACGGGGTATATTCCATCAAAAAATTAATTCTTCAGTAAACTGACCAGTAACTGGTGGCTTGAACACTCTTGTGGACAAACAGATGCTTTATTCTTGTTGCTACTATTGTTCTTTTAAATTGATTGGTTTATTTGAATTTATCTACCAAAAATATTGAAATCCCCAATTCACAGGAAAATGAGTCATCTGAGTGTACTCGCTCACTCCCAAACATGGTGATTAGAAGAGAAACCAGGAACTTTTTTGCCCTCCCAATTCTAGCATGATTTGGGGGGGGGGGCCTCTCACTTTGTGAAACTCTAGAGGGAGGGAAAAGTAAATTGAATTATACAGGTGGTGTTTTTATATCTTCTGTGCAGGGATCTAGATCTCTTTTTCCTTGAAGGACAGTCATTACACCTTTTTTCTTAAAGTGTGGAAACAATTGCTCATAGTTTGTCTCTGGTATTTGTTTTGTTTGTTTTTGTGGTACTGGTAATTTGAAAAACCAGGGCCCTGGCGCTGAGCTACATCCCTAGCCTTGTTTGGTTTGGTTTTGAGACAGGGAGGGTCTCACTAGGTCACTAAAGTTCCTCAGGCTGACCGAAAACTTGCAGCCTTTCTGCAGCCTCCCAGAATGCTAGAATTATATCCCAGAATTATAGACATGCACCACACCTAGCTGCTCATGACTTTTTTCCATTTAATGAACTTTTTTCTAAAGATGGGGACTAGTTTAGTTAATATTTTCACTAGATTATTTTTCCAATCCCTGGTCATAACATTTCCCATTATTTTCATCTTCCCTACTGCTGTGAACTTATTTCTGGCTTTTGGTGTTTCTGGCCAAATAATACCAATAGCCTCCTGTTGGTCCCTCACTGAAGTTGGGCCCCTTTCTAATTCATCCTTCCTGTTGCTCCTAGGATCATCTGTCTCATGAGGACATGTCTATCTTCCAATCTCCACCTTGCTCTCCCTCAGAACTCCTTCCAAGCCTGCATGGCCTGGCCTTTTAAGAATGCTCAGGCTCCCCCCCTCAGAATATGTCCCTGGGTCCTCCCTCCTCCTCACCTTCAGTGTGGGGCTGAGAGCATTGCTGTTGATTCCTGTGTTAGATTGTGTTTAGCTCTGCCAGACCAATTCGCTGTCACACTGTCTTGTAAATGTCTTTCACAAGCAGTTTGAGGATTAAATTATGTATAAAATGCTTTCAGCAGTATGTGCTATATAGTAGCCACTTTCTAAGTCTTATTATAAGACACTGGCATTGCAACGCTGAATTCAGGGAGTGTGCCTTGTGTTTGTGTATCATGTTTGTAGTAGCTGGTACAGAGTAGAACTTAAACACAAGGGCAAGGTCCTCACAAGGGCAAGGTCCTGAGTTCGATCCCCAGTACCGAAAAAAGAAAGAAACATTGTTGAGGGGATAAACTGTCACTGCCAAGTAATGTGACTATAAGCTCCATATACCACAGTGCCTAAAGGTACTTGTCAGGGACGTTTAGAAGTGAATACCTGGAATTATTTTCATCCTCTTTTTGGATGAGTTGCCTCAACTCTTAAGCAAATATAGCAGAATCTTACCTTTATGAGGGTCTGCAGTACAAGGCTTTAGAAACTGTGATTGGATACTAGCTTAATCCTCAAGACAGCTGCAGGCAGCCTGGCCACGTTCCACACTGTTCTCTGAAGCAGTGGTGTCTGCTGCCCCACCTCCCCTTCTGGCTTCATCACTTCTCAAGGACGCCTTCCCTGCATCCCCTCCCTACACAAGGCCAGGACTTCCTCTTACACTTCCCTGGCACCTGCCTTTTCATCACATGCTCACTGACCATAACTGTCTCTTGTCCAAAGGGTAACCAGGCCCAGGATTGATGGAATGAATGGAGTCCAACCTTACAGAGTTTATGGTTAAGGAGAAATCTCGAAATAAAACAAGGGTTTTTTTTTTTTTTTTTTTTTAAATAACTGCCATGAGATACCAGAAATGTTCCTTTGGACATTTGAAGCCACCACAACCCTATGGGGGAGAGGGAATACCCAATACTGAGCTCTGGAGGAGGAGAGTTGAGGGAATAGAAGCAGTTTAATTTGCTGAGCATTACAGCATCTCTGAAGGGCAAGAATAGGTAAAAAAAAAAAAATGTTAACTGTAGACTGGGACTACACCAGAGAAACCCTGGGGGACTGAAACTACTTGGTAGTTAAAGGGAACCATCACACATTTCTGGGCAAAGGAATGGTGTGATCAGATCTCACTCTAGAAGTGTTAAGAACAAGTATAAAGTAGATTAAAGAATATGTAGAGACAACTGAAGTCACTAGGAATTACAGCAGAACTTCAAGTAAGAGCTCCAAAAAAGGTAAGGGGACTGGACAGGAGAGGAGGGGCCATGTGTGCGTGACATCAGACTGAAACAAGGGCTGTGGCGACAGTGGAGAACACCTGATTCTAAACTATTCATGTAGCATGGGGGCCCTCTTCAGATGCTCAGGAGCCTCCCTGTTACTGAAGAGAAACAGAGGCACAAATCAGGCAAAGCTCTGAGCCAAGTGGAGAATTGAGCTTGAGGGCTGGGGTGCCTCTTAGCCTGTGCCAGGCTGTGGGTTCCATCCCTAACACCAGAAAAAGATGAGCTTCAGGGTTATCTGCAGGAATGGTCACACAAATGAAGTTCTTTAGCTGGTTGGGTAGTTACTGAGACACTAGCTTTCTAGAAGAACTTAGCTTTAACTAAATGAGGTTGGTGGGATTAATGTCCTAACTCTGCTGCTTTGCAATTTTCTTTCCTTCCATAAACATTAACTTCTCCACCAGGCCCCAGGCATAGAACAACAAATTTGCCCTGGTAGAATTGTTCTTGGTTGGAGATGGGGGTCAAGGAAGGGAAGGTGTTGGACCAACAATAAAGATAAATGTAGTGCGTGAGTTGGTGGTAAGTGCTAAGCAGAACTAAGTGGGCAAGGTAAGCACTGTTAGGTGGCTGAGAGGAAGTGACATTAAGTTCCAGTCCAAGGGGGAGGTGGGTGAGTCAGGAGCAGGGTGCAGGCAGAGGACAACTGGTGGAGTATGCTGCCCCACACCCAAGGAGGTGAGGTCCAGTGGAGCAGGCACTGCCAGAGAGGTTACTGAAGCAGCAGGGACTGGCAGGAGGAGTTGGTTTGCAGGCAGTGTCTTCTGGAACAAGTGCAGAGACTGCCTACTCAACACTAGCCCAGGAGTGGCTGTGAGAGCCAGGCACTAGCAGCAGGTGTAGGTTTTACATGTTTGTTTTGAAGAGCCGAGCACTTTCACAATATCCAGATTTTTGGCTCTTCTAAGAGTTTTAAATGTTATTGAAGACTCCTGTATGTCAGATGCCCCTTCTACAGACAGCTGGCTAGGTGACATCTGTGCCCGCCCCCAGTGCTCATGTGTGCAGCTGGGCCTCAGGTACAGGACCTGTCTTCACCCAGGAAGCACAAAGGGCATGCTTTCCCAGAACCCCTGCCAGGTGAGGGGGCCATGACCACCCTGGGGACGGCCTGTGAAGGAGAGGGAATTCGAGCAGGAGGCAAGGTGCATTTGCCTGGCAACACTATGCATGGCTTTATTCACTATTAGCCAGCACGCACTGGCATACTTGTGCGTGGCTTCTCTCCAGAGCTGGGGCCCCATGGCACCTCACCTGTGTGTGTCACATGTATGAGAATTCCAAGCCATTATGTGGATGCGGATTGGACAAGGGTTTCTCTATGGTCTGGAGAGAAAAACTGCCACAGTTTCACTCTAGGAGTTCAAACTTCCCACATTGAGAGCCCTAAACATGCAAATGTACATGCCATACACGTGTGGAGTCCCAGTGTGCTCCATGGCCTGGGTGTCCTGTGTAACCATCAGACACACCCACTCAAGTGCCTGGGACTGAGCCCTTTCTCCTGAGGCCCATAGACCCAAAAGCCCTATCATCCCGGTAACAAAGGTGTGCTCTACATTGAACCCTCCCTGCTGTAACCAGCATCCTCCGTCCCAGAGCCAAGGATTCCAGCCTTGTCTGTCTACAGGCGTCAACTTCCTGACTCCCTTAGACCCTTTTCTGAAGTCTTGGTTACCCGGGCTCTTAGGTGTGGGGTGGGCTTCCTGGTTCCTCTCCCTCTAACAGGAACTGGGAGTGGGTGGAAAGGTGAGCAAGCTGTTGAGCTGCACCCGCCTGCAGGAACCAGCTGGAGGGCGGGAGGCCACCTCCAAGCACATTAAAGAAGTTGTACAACTTGTGCTCCGTGTAGATACCAAGTCCGGCCCCTACTTCCTGGAAGTTAGCTGTGGTGTAGTCCTATAAATAACCGACAAACAAAACAGAAAAGTTCACTATTCCCAAGGGAGAGGGAAATAGCTGGGAAGGTCAAAAAGGGACAGAATTCAGACTCCTGTAGGATGACAGGACATGGGGTACCAAATATCCTTACCATTCCCAGAGCCAGAAACACATCTTTGAGTAGCTGGGCACTGTCTCTAGGAAACACTCATTTGAGCTCCCTGCCTCTCTTGAGTCTCCACGCAACTCCCTAGGCAGGCAGTCCACAGCAGGAGAATGCAGGAGGCCAGCCTGGGCAAGAGACCCGTCTCAAAAACAAAAGGGCATAAGATGAGCCCTTGCACATATCCTCCCTCCCTCTGTCATTCCCACCCTCACTGATGAAGCCGTTTGCGAGCAGTTCACGGAGCAGCCAACCTCTCCACTGGTGCTCTTTAGGGCTGCAGTACAAGCAGCGGCACCAAGAGGTGCAGGCAGGCCTTTGGCGACACCCTCTCCAGATCTCAGCCTTCCTAGGTCTGAGATGAGCATCTTACAAAGCTAGAAAAGAAGGTCTAGAGGGATTAGTGCAGTTTAGCCTCGAAGGAGAGCTTTAGAGATGTGGAGGTTTCCAGACACAGTCAATGGGATGAAACCTCACTCTCCAAAGCCCATCTGAGGAGCGTCCTGGGGCCTTGGCCTCCCGTGAACCCGCGCCAGCCTAGGAACCAGCCATGGAAGCCTGTGTGTCCCCACCTTTAACTCTCAGCTTGCTCCTGCGGCCCATCCCGAGCCTGAGCTCAGGAA